CTGTGGGGAAAAGGGAACACTTCTCTGCTGCTGGTGGGAGTGTAGACTAGTGCATCCACTCTGGAAATCAGTGTGGAGCTTCCTCAAAACACTAGAACTAGAGGTCGCATTTGACCCAGCTATTCCCTTTCTTGGTATTTTCCGAAAAGAATTAAAATCATACTACAGCAATATATGTGTACCCATGTTTATAGTGGCACAATTTGTAGTAACTAAATCTTGGAAACAAGCCAAATGCCCATCAACAGATGAATGGAATAAAAAGATGTGGGTTTTTTTAATATAATGAAGTCCTACTGTGCTAAATGGATGGATCTTAAGACCGTATTCTTAAGTGAAATAAATCAGATACACATGTGTAAACATCACATTGTCTCACTGGTGTGAGAAACTGAAAGTGTAAATAGGAACCAAATTGTACAAGAGATATAGTAAAGTGGGAAGAAATTGCTCAAAAGGAAAAGGTAACTAGGGAGTGGGGAAGGGGGAAGGAAGGAAGGGAAAAGAAAAAATAAGAATAGAAGGATAAAATGTAAACAAAGTATTGTAAATAAGGGGGGAGGAGAATGGGAAGAAAAAAAAACCCAAATTAAGGTATATCATGTACAGGTACAAATTCCCTATGATGAATGTGATCATTGTATATACCTAAATTGTACCAATAAACTTAATTACATTAGAAGAAAAAGTATAGTCCAGTGGTTCCTACCATTGATTTTAGAGACAGACTACTTGTAGTCCCATAATTTGGTACTTCTTGAGAGGTACTCAGTTTCTGAGAGAGCATCCAGTTATCTTTAGAACTTGTAGAGAACAGGGAATTCTGAAACAGGAGCTCTGAGGGCTGATGAATTAGGGTTAGTACATGGAGAGGAAAAATAAGCACATAGTTACCAGAAACAATGAATTCACTTGGGTGATTAAAACAGAACAGTCACTCTCAGCCATGACCCTTAATAACAAATACATTTTCCATTGTGAACCATCATATATATTTGTATGTGCATATTTATATGATTTCGGTGATCACTGTCAGAAAATTTCACAAAACAGTGGTTACCTTTACTATGTGTGAAGTGCTCTGTTATTTTCTGTTTTGTTCCCTCTTTTAAAAAAACATTGAACCCAGGTGTGGTGGTACATGCCTGTAATCCCAACACTCAGGAGACTGAGGCAGGAGGATCATTGCGTGTTTCAGGCCACCCTGGGCTACAAGTGAGCTCAAGGCCAGCCTGAACTGCATAGCAAGACCTTGTCTAAAAAAGACAAAAAAACAAACAAACAAATAAATAAATAAAACATTGACCCTGACTTCCAGAATTTATTTCACAACTTACTAAGGAGCTGTGAGCTACAGTTGAAAAAGCACTGTTTGGAGTATGAATTAACCCTTTGAACATTACCCTAGGAAATTGTTTGGCATAATTTGCTATCCAGATGAATGAGAAGAGCCTATCAGAACTGGTGGTATTCTGCAGCAAGTGATAAGACTTCAACTTACTATTTGGCTCCCTCAGCTACCAGAGTTTAGCTAATAGTTTATCACTTGATTTTCTCCTGGTCAAGCTGTTTTTCTCAGATGTTTTCTTATTTGTTTGGATATACCTCCTCCTTTAGACTCGGAGATAGCTCCCAGGGGTCAAGACTTATTATAATAGCTAATACTTCTATAGTGTCTTCTCAGTGGAAGGCATATTTCCATTTTACATGTATCAATCCTTACTTGTAACCTATATATTAGGTCCCTTTATCTTCATTTTATAGATGGGGAAACCGAAGCATATGTAAGTTAAGTAGCTCACATCAGTACGCTCTTCTGCAGCTTACCTTAAAGATGAGTGTAGTTTCCTATGTATTTCCTTGATGGTTTTTGGATGAAATTAAGCTCATTTCTGGTCTTACGATTTTTCTCACCACAAGGTTATTTAAGTAATGAAAGAGGATTAGGAATTGAATAATATAGTGGTGCCAAATTTTGAAAGAATATAGATTATTTAAATAGGTCAGATTCAGAATTTGAATAATGACTATCTATGCTTTGAGCCCTAACATTAAAAACCTGCCATCCTCCACCAATCCTGGCTTGACTATGCATAATATTGCAGAAATGCCCACTTATTCTTAGCTCATTAATTTACCAATTTGGGTTCTGTAATATTCTTTCTTCTAATCCCCTGCTTATTGCAACAGCTGTTATGTCCTGGCCGTTGCCTCCTGGGTTAATAGTATTTCTGACACAGTGTGAGTTTTCAAGTTGGTATGTACAGTTTCTGCCAGAGCCTTGACTGCTGCCAAGTCTCAGGGTTGAAAGTTGCAACTGATTTGTGGGGGAGGGAGTTTGGTGCTTGTCACTGACAAGGGAACAAGGTGCTCTCTAGGGCTCCGATTTGCTGCAGAGTAAGTGTGAATGATGTCAAGCAGATCAGAGGACAGCTGATTCATTTGGGATCTGGAACTCTTCACTATGCCTCACCGCAGCCTCCTGGGATCTTAGGTCTTTTGGTGGAGGGGGAAGTTCTAAATATCTTGCTTTTGGGGAAATATTTTTTAATTTTTCCCACAAGTGAGAATTTTTCCCATTGGTGAGCCTTTGTAAGTTTCGTTTGGGTGACATGCTCCTTGTGTGAAAGGATTTCCTACCTGGACTCCAGTGTGAAAGGGTAGAACTTCAGTATCCAGCAAAACGATGAAACGAAGGAGAGAGAGATTGGGAGCACCATCCCTGCGGATTCAGTAAGGAGGCTGGGGTCACTGACTGGAAAATGACAGATGTCAGGAAAAGAACTAATGCCAGCTAACACCCAGCTTTGTTTTCCTGCCAGAAGACACTGCTGTTGAGATGCCTGTTGGGAAGCGGGCTGGGCTGGCTTGAGTCATTCAGGTTGAAACAGTGGGCCCTGACATGGACTTGTGGAGTTCACAACTGTGGAAACTGAGTTGGATATAATTTTAAGCGTTTTTAGGTTCACGGAGAACTGTGTTAACGAGAATAGTTTTCCCTCTTGCTTTTAAAGCAAATATTTGTTTAAAGTTAATGTCAAAGCTGCAAGTACAGGCCCCAGGAATGTGAGAAACAGATGGAAGTGAAAAGCGTCTACTCCTTTAACTGAAAGGGGTTTTGCATTTTTGCCTCAGGCCTGTCATCTCAGAACCCCAGACCTGCCTTTATCCATATTGGGGTCTGGAGTACACCTTTATGGTGTGCCTTGAATTTTATTTCTCTCTTGGCTAATATAGAAACATATAGGTGAAGATTTCAAAACTGGGGAGTCGGAGAAGCCCTCCTCTGCGGCATGGCTTTTCTAAGACCTGCTCAGGCTTATTTAATGAAGGAATGTTTAATGAAGAATTCATCAATTAGAAAACAGGGGATGAGTCCTAGAATTTATTTTGCCCCCATTACTACCTGTAGTATCTTGAACTGTTCTTGCTTAACTCCCAGGTGGAGGGGCAGCTCTAAGTGTTTTCTTTCCAGTCTTTAGTGCTTATCTGCAGACAGCAGGACTCACACTTCTTCGGTGGCCTCCTTTGGTTGATACCCTTTTGTGCCTGGGAATGCTGATTAATTGGATTAGCAGCCCCTGAAAACAGCCCTTGTTTGAAATATATAAATAGAAATATTGTATACTTTAAAACATTTTTTGTTCCCATATCTAGATTTAAAAAGTAAAGATCATAAAAAAGAAGCTTTATGAACTGAAGTGTCAGAGATGGCTTGTTAGCAAAATGAAAAATTTACATGGAATTTGTAGTTTAAGAAAATGTAAGTGATCAATAGTCATGCTCTTTGGCTATTGGTACACTTTTATTGAGAATCCTTGTTCTAGTGACCAAATTTGGAAAATACTCCTGAGGAGCTAGTAAGGAGTTTATAAATCACGTTTGCATTTTCACACAGAGTTTTTTTAGTTTCTAACCCATTATATAACCAATTTGCAGAGTAATGATTGGGAAGAAAAAGGAAATGAGGTTTGGTTTATACATTTTTATAACCTCAATAATATATTTTTCAGGCTGGGCATGGTGGCGCATGCCTGTAATCCCAGCACTTGGGAGGCTGAGGCAGGAGAATCTTTGCGAGTTCCAGACCAGCCTGGGCTACAAAGTGAGCTCAAGGCCAGCCTGAACTGCATAGTGAGACCCTGTCTCAAAAAAAGACAAAAAACAAACAAACAAAAATATGTATATATATTTATCAGAATACCTAAACATTTTATGTGATATTTAAGACTCCAAGACTTTGTATAAGTGATGTTATTTAGATCCACAAATACTTTTAGTGACTTATTGTATGTTTAATTAGCTTTAACATATATTATAGGCAAAATATGTTGTTTGTATAAACACTGTGAACCTGATAGTTAGTTTTCATCATCTGTGCTGTATCCTACCAATAACAATTTAGAAATATAACTTTCATCTGTTTTCAACCTAATCATCTTATTTAATAATCTTCAGTAGTATTTACCTATCAATATGGCTAATGTTATTTTTAGTGAAAAAAGAAACTAGAAAAGCTGAAATTTAAATAGAAACAAAACTTATACAGAATTATGTGATATTATTTGATATAGTCATTAGGGAAAAGTTAGCTAAATAAGTTGGTATCGTTGTAGATATAATCAATAATATATAAATGTTTGAGGATGTTTTATTTTTGTGGACATATACATTTCTTGAGAAAGTTTTAGTCGTCAAACATGAAATATTACCTGTTGCTTACCAGTTTATAACTGATGAATTTAGTGTTGTATTTGCCCCCAAGGCCAATTCTAAATACTTTGAATAGTCAAATTTAAGCTTTTGATTCTAACTCAGTGGATTAAGTCTTAGTTTCCTATTGTCAGTCTTTGCCAGCATTATAAAATATTTGAGAATGACATTTGACCACTTAACTTTTCTTGAACCTCTTGCTTAAACTAACCCACTTTGAATGTGTTTCTTTTTGGTTGAGCAGTTATCACTGACACTGTTTTTCTCCTATTGTGATGCCTTGTCAGAATCTCTACTCTTTGCCGAGGAGCTGATGTAAACCAGCACATGTTCTCACCCTCATCGGCTCCAGCCTTCCTCCTCGCTAAAGTCCCATTTAGCGCTGATTGTATTCTGGCTACTTCTCCTCTTGCTTTTTTCCTGACCCCACAAGCCCACAGCAGTCCTGGCAGTCCTTGTTCCAGCCGCCCACTGCAGTGGAGGTAAGGAGAACTGCCATGGCATGAATGTGGGTCTTGGCAAGTGTTGTGGCTATATAGGTAAAACTTATACCTCATTCCTTAATAATAGGGAAAAACTGAGTAAGAGTCGCAGAGAAGAGTGAAAGGAATTCATAGATCTCTGCTATATTCAAAAGTTCAGGAGAAGGTAGGGTAGTCTGTTATTACTAAGATAATTGGGCTCATCCTGACCACTAGACTGCCCTGTGAACTGTGACTTATGACTAACCCATAGCATAACAGAGTGCTAATAAGCTTTTCCATTAACAGGAAAATTTGAGTCCAGAATAGGCTAAATGACTTGCTCAAGCTAATGAAGATAGCTTTCCTCCTATTCCTTTCTGCTTCCTTTTCATATATTCCACGTTGTTTGAGTATATAATGTGCATTAGACACTGCTTTAGGTGTGGAAGACAAACAGTGACCACAAAGTGATAGAAGTTCCCATCCTTAGGGAATTTAGGCTCTAGTGGAGGGAGAGAGAAAAACAAGTTAAATATATATCTAACCTAACAGATGGCCAGAAGTGCTACCGAGAAAGATATGGTAGGATAAGGAAGGGTAGGGAATGTGAGGACCGGCAGTTGATATTTTATATAAGGTAGTGAGGGAGGTCTTCAGTGGTTAGTTGAGTTATCAGCAAAGATGTCAAGGAAGTCATGAGCCAGAATGGAAATACCTGGAGAAAGACTATTTATTTAGCCTGAGACAACAATGGGTGCCAGCAACCTCATCTGGGAGCTCGCCTTATGTGTCATTGTGCACTGCACAGTCCTGTGAAGGAGACATGGAATAAGTTACATGATGCGTGGTGAGAAGCCAGGTCTGAAGTGTAGTGGGGCTCCAGGCTCAGTGGACCTGTAAAGCTCAGTATAGTACTTGTTTTTAAGCTGAGTGAGACATTAGAGGGAATATTAAAGTGAAACAGTATCCTGCTCAAAACATCAAAAGTTAGAAGGCTACTCATGTAATCCCAGTAAGAAACAATGATTGTCTGAGCCTATGATGGTGCAGATGTAAGAACTGACAAATTGGGGATGTATTTTGAAGCTAGAATTGATAGGATTTGTCTTTTTTTTTTTTCTTGGTTTTTTTCCGGTACTGGGAATCAAACTCACGACCTTGTGCTTGCCAGGCAGGTGCTGTGCTGCTGAGCTAAATCCCTAGCCCCAGGATTTGTTGATAGATTAGATGAAAGTGAGAAAAAGATAGGTTAAGGATGATGTAAGACATTAGACTTAAGTGGCTAGAAAATTGAAGTTAACAATTAAGGAAGATTTGAAAATTATAAAGAGATAGCTAATTATACATGGAGCGATTAGAAAATACAAAGAATGTTTAAGTAAAAAAATTTATAACTGTAAAAGACACATTGGCACAAATTCCCCTCAGAATACTCTCCCTTGCTTAGAACACACTTATCCTATTCTTGCTACTTTCTAAAGCAGTTCTTGAAGTTCTCTTTCACGTCTTTATGAGGCGTTATTAATAAAATACAGTGAATGTTACTGCTGAGTGCCATCTAATGGAAAGGTGGCCTGGTAAAAACACGATGCATCCTCATCCACCTTATTCACTTGATCTGGCACCATGCAACTTGGGGCTCTTCCTCAAAGTCAAAATGAACATGAAAGGTAAATGTTTTGTATCAGTTTAGGACATCAAGGCAACCATGACCATGCAGTTAAAGACACAAAAAAAGACTTACAGAACTGTGTTAGGAAGTGGCAAGAACAATGGGATAAGCATGTTCTGGGTGTAGGGGAGTATTTCAAAGTTTATTAATGGCAGCTTATGTCTTACTATAATGAGATTTTTATTTATTTATTTATTTATTCTTTTTGAGACAGGGACTTACTATGCGGTTTAGGCTGGCCTTAAACTCACTTATGTAGCATAGCCTGGCCTCAAACTTGCAATGATCCTCCTGCCTCAGCCTCCCGAGTACTGGGATTACAGGTGTGCACCCCCATGCTTGACTATAATGAGATTTTAAAAATATGAATACACTGCATTTTTTTTAATCAAACCTTATGCATTTAGTGAGAGATACTGAGGTTTGGGTTACAAATATATGATTAGAAATTGAGAACATATAAATGAGCCAGTGAACAGCTATTAATAGAGAGGAAGAAATGTCAGTGTATTGAATCTAGGGCCATCTGATTTTTATAGGTTAAGGAGATAATGATGAACTAGCAAAGGAGAAACTGAAAAAAAGTAACTGTTCAGGAAGAACCAAGAGAGGTATCATGGAAACCAATTTCAAAAATATGTTGAAAAGGAAGGTATACTTGGTTGATCAATAGGAGTTTGTTAAGCTTTTATTTTTTATTTTAAAGAAAAGTAACCTTAAGAAACTAAAAGTTAGGTGTAGTGGTGTACACCTATTATCTCAGCACTTGGGAGGCAGAGGCAGGAGGATCGAGTTCAAGGCCATCCTGGGCTACAAAGTGAGCTCAAGACCAGCCTGAACTGCATAGTGAGATCCTAACTCAAAAAGAGAAGAAAAAAAAAAAAAAAGAAAGAAAGGAACTAAAGAGTACAAGCACAATACATTATACAGATTTAAGTGGCATAACTAGATGTAGGCACTCCAGTTTTGCAGACAGTTTGGGACAGTGTTAGATTGCTGTAGGACAATGTCAGGGTCTGACTCCACCCTGAAGGCATTCCTTTGAAAGGTACTAGTCCTTGGTGTGTAAGACTGAGAAAAATAATGAATAGCACCCACGGCCTGAGGTATGTCTAATCTTGACATATGGATTGAAGTAGGAGTACCTCTTGATGTGTGTGATCTTAGGAACACACAACCTAGGGTAATGTCTGAGGTGCTGGGCATGAAAACTTGTTACAGTTCATGGTTTTTTTTTTTTCTTGCCCTAAATTTGGTCATGTTTGGTTGCTTTATTAGTGCTTCATTCCACTTATCCCATGTAAAATATCAGTTTAGTGGTATGACAAGATTTTATCTTATTTGCAGAATATTTTTGTGTTCCTGTAAATAATCTTGAGATTCTGGGATGCAGATATTTGAAGACACTTTGGTCATTTTGAGGATTATTTCCAGGCTTTGTGTGGTGGGACGTTAGCCTTTGGGATTAATTTTTCCTTTCTACGGAAGCAATACTGCCTGAGTTCTTTACTTGATATCTATGTATTGTGAGTTTGTTTTTACTCAGGCTGTTGAGAACATGAACTCTTTGTGGCCTTATGTGAGCTCTGGGAAGTGTACCACAGGCTAATTTTCTTGGACAGTTTTCTTATTCACATGCAATGATTAGTACCTAGCCAAAGCCTTGAGAAGAACCCCCTACAGATCTCCAGAGTTCTTTCTATATAATTTATATTTTGAATCACTTTTGAATTGCTTGTAGACTTTATTTGTTCTAAAGTGAGAGGATTTGGAGCAAGAAATCCTTATGAGCTGGGCATGGTGGTATATGCCTATAATCACAGTACTTGGGAGGCTGAGGCAGGAGGATTGCCATAAGTTTGAGGCCAGCCTGGACTACATAGTGAGACCCTGTCAGGAAAAAAAAAATCCTTATGAGAGTGGGCTTTGTGTTGTAAGGATTCTAGCCTTAGTCTGCTTCCTACTACATAGTGATACTTTCCATACAGTGTCTAGCAATAAGTTATTTTGCTATTGCTTGAGCTTCCTCAGCAAAAAGGAGTTTGTTACTGACTTTTGCAGCCATTAGTGCTAGTCAGCCATCTGACCTGTCCTGTGTCACATGTGTGAGAGCCTTTCTGTAGACTCATATGGCAAAAGGACAGGTGTTCCTTTGGGCCTCCTCCAAAATGAGGCAGCCTTTGAACTCCTGTTTTGGTAGTGCCAGGATTATTTCTTGCCAAAGAGAAAGTACTATTTTCATTTTACCAACACCTGCTTTTTTTGTTTCTCTCATTTTTAAATATCTGCCTTTCAAAGTAATTCCAAAAGGTGAACAATCAGTAGAACTTGTTCTTACCCTGCCCTGGCCATGTACTAGTCATAAACAAATGACTTCCCTTCTTTCCACTTAGGTTTTCTAAAATGGTAATTGGTGGTACATCAAGATTGCAATAAAGAGTCAAGTGTCCGATTTAGACTACTACCAGCTCAAAAACTCACGTTTTGATGATCCTTTCTACTTAATTTTACGTCCATTAATTTTACTGTTATTTTCAGTAATTTTCTCATATTTTATCTTTCCCATGGAAAGCTTTAAATATCCTTTACCATATATCCTTATTGTGTAAACCTTGTTCCTGGCTGAATTGAGGCACTAGTGGCTGGTTGCTCTTTTGTCTTCTCATGCAGCTTGCTAACTGTTACTACTGAAAACTGGCCCATTGGGCTTGCTAGGGCATGAATGAAAATGGGAAACATGCTGAATTACATTCTTTTAAAGGCCATTTTATGCTGTGCATGGTGGTATATCATGGGTTTCCCAGATACTCTAAATGCTGCGGTAGGAGAATCCTAAATTCAAGGCCAGCCTGGACTATTTAGTGAGATGCTGTCCCAAAGTAAAATTTTTTTAAAACCTAGGGATGGGGCCAGGCATGGTGGCACATGCCTGTAATCCTAGCACTCTAGAGGCTGAGGCAGGATGATTGTTGCGAGTTCGAGGCCAGCCTGGGCTACAGAGTGAGCTCAAGGCCAGCCTGAAATGCATAGCGAGACTCTGTCTCAAAAAGACAAAAAAACCCAGAAAAACAAAAAAGCCAAAAACCTAGGGATGTAGTTCATGGTGGATTGCTTGTTTAGCATTAGTAAGGCCCTGAATTCAATCCCTAGTACCATAAACTGGGGGTTGGTGTGGAAGTAGGTATTAAATAGCAATGAGGAAAGTCCATTAGAAACGGTTTTTAGCTATTCATTTATCATCTGTCAGAGAAGGATTGACTTCAGAGTATCCATAGGAGAGGTGATTCTATTGGTAGTGAAAGAAACACCCATTTTCTTTCTTCAATTTTTTTTTTTTTTTTGGTCT